CCACTTGCGTGATGAGATGAAAGCCTCCATATCCTCTACGATGCGCTCCTTGACACCGCGCTCAAGGACGACGGAGTCTAGGGGCCGCTTTCGCTTAGCATCTCCAAAGGGCTGCCACATGGTACCCATGGAGTTGTATATGACAGTCTTGCCTTCCTGTGACTGCTGGTATATTTGGTGCGCCTCGGCGAAGATGTCTTCGAAGATATCGCGATGCGAGTAGAGGGTCGTAAGGTTAATCGTCTCGAAGGGTACGCCATCTTTGACGTTCAGACTATTGCGCTCTCGCTGCCTGTCCACGAGGATGAAAGCGTTCTTGTAGCGCAGAAAGTGCTTGCCCGGACCTGGCACGAAGGAGAAGTGGGCAGCGTGCGAGGGCCCATCTTGCGGCGTGTACGTCTGAACTTGGAGGTGGTGCATGCGCGGATCAATGCGATTGAGCACTCTGGAGAGGACACCGTTCTGGACCAGTGGTCTGGCACCGGCTTGCTGTGCCCTGTGGTAGTTGGTCATCCATTGGAGGACCCACGGATAGGCGTCGTCATGGCGAGTTATTTCTAGGTCGACCAGCATGCGGCGGCGTACGAAGGCAGCGCCATGTTGGAGACCCTTTTGGCCAGTCCGTGCCGCAACCCCAAGCGCTGCGAGACCGAAGCCCTATGGCATCAGTGAGCACATGTTCCAGAAAGCATGCATCGGCCCCAAGGTGAATCATACGGCGGTGAAGAAAGGGTTGTCGGTGATTTGCGAAAAAGGAGAGCTGAGACCAGGACTGCCACCGCCGGCAGTGATCTGCTTGGCCAGCTGGTGTTGAGGCGTGTTGGGTTCCATGAGCTGCTGAGAGGCGCGCCTGTCCAGAAATTTGATACGCCATGGACGCTAGCGCGGGAACGACGCTGCCGCGCCGCGTCCTATCATGTTGTACGGCAAACAGCCATGAGTGGTACAGCGCTCGCCTGCAACGTGGAGTTTTGATAAGGAGGCATCTTGTCACACCGTTGTGTTCGTTATGCAAACGCCGCAAAAAAGAAAAAAGACGTTGCTGCCGTCATGGTCAAGACGCCTGACGCAGCTGCACGAGCAATCCGGGGTCGCGTCGCGGAAGGCTATCCATGGCGCTTTCCCAGCACTGCGGAGAGGTGGAGCGCCTAGGCGAGCTTGGACCTGGCGCCCCCCGTCACTGATAACTATCACAGCCTGCCCAACTCACAAAATCCTAATCCTGAACCACTCCGCGAAGGCATCTTCGGCTCGGAGCGTTTTGCTCTTCTTCACCCTTGCGCCATGGCCACAGTAACCATAGGCAAATCCTATTTCGAGGCCCTGTTACGAAAGTGAGTGCTCATGCCACTTGAACTATGGTAATGCGCCAGACCGTTTGCTGATGGAATTTGTAGGGCTGAATTCGTCAGTATTGCCCAGGCAGTAGCTGTCCACCCGTTCTTCACAGGACTGACCCTGTTTGACAGCATACATCCACTCAGCCTGTCAGCTACGGCACTGATCTTTCGAATAATGTCACCATCAGCAAAGCAGAACATGAGTACATGGTGCGTGGTCTCCATGTCAAAACCGCCCAGAGTTTCCATTTTGTCTTCCTAGTCTTTCTTGCTCATTCTTATCCTTGCTCTTGTCGTCTGGATGCTAATGATGGACTTGCTCACAGATTCAAGCGATGCGCGAATACCGTATGTACACCACTGCCCTGACTCAACACTACTTGTCTCTAACCGTGGATAGATCTCCTCAAGAGCGCCCTGTTTCGTGGGGGCCTGACGACCGAGACCTTGGAGACATTGTTACAAGGCGAAAACGGCGTTTCGAGTGACGCACCATCAAGCTACGACTACGTGTCGGAGCACACACCTGCCGAATCAAGAGCCACTCCTGTAGCTGCACCTACTTCATTTCACTACCGACCAGAGTCGGATCACACAGCTGTCAGCCACGGTCTCCAGCCTAGACCTTTACAATCGCTCCATCGAATTGTCAGCTATGGCGTATGTGAGTCCTTCACAGGGGACCCACAAGACGACGACGACGACCAGGAGCCAATTTCAGGTCGCCGTGTACCACTCCATGATCAGCGAACTGTACTGATCACCAACCTCTCTGAGCGTACCACACATAAAGACTTGGCTGGAATTGTCCGTGGTGGAAGACTCCTCGACATCTTCCTCCGCAACGACCGATCTGCTACCATCTCGTTCGTTGAAGGAGCCGCGGATTTTCTGGCTTATGCAAAGCGCAACGATATCTACCTGCATATGAAGAGGGTAAGTCATGCGCCATCAGAATAAGATGACGAAAACTAATCATGTCAGCTTGAGTTCCGTTGGAGCGACCGACAGTTCCACGTGCCACCGCATGTGTCCAACAAAATCGCTGGCGGTGCCACACGGAACCTGGTGGTAAGAGGGGTTGCAGGCAAAGTCACCACAGATCAGATCCGTGACCAACTTGATCACATCCACAACCTCATCGTGGTTGACGTATACTTCAGAAACGGCGATGCATACGTCTCGACCAACTCGATTCACAATGCTCTGTTCGCCAGGACATGCATGATGTCGCGTAGCATATACAAAGGCACGCGCATCGAGTACTATCCAGATGAATGCGCTGGACCGTTACCTCAACCCAAGAAGACCCACGTTCCCGTCGCGCGTATGCCTACCAAACCTGCGCCTGTGGTCAACCAGTATGCTATTCTGGACACTGGTTCTGACGATGGATCTGAGTCCGAAGAGGAGTCGTACAGGACCCATGGTGTGCAGGTTGATGGTTACCATTGGGCTGACGCTGTCGTAGCATAAGCGGCTTCTATGGAGGCTCGCTGCCTATTGTAGCCCGGCGTACCCCATGGGGTCGGCGAGGAGCTACAGTGTCTTGATCGGGCCTTCCACTCATACTAAGTTTCTTCGCGTTGCGGCATTTTTCGAACAGACTAAAGTATATCTCTTACATGAGAGGGCGTCGATCGAATTCCGAAGGAATTCTGATCCAGTTGTCAAGAGCGGAGGTAATGCCGATGGGAGTGGTAATACGGATATGTTGTCGAGAAACATGTCATGTCGTATAGCTGGTCGACAATACATTTCTCGACAGGTGTTGGGAGGAGTATGTTTCTTTCCTATATAGATACCCCTCGATTACTTCAAATCATGATCTTCGCTTACAAGGTATGACGATGTCAAGCCGGAGTGCTGTGATCAGCGCTGCTTATCAAGATGTTGAGCACCCTTGACTACATGGGCAGAAAGCTTGTCCTGTTTAGCGAGCACTAGCCCTGCATTGATGTGCATGCGTCAGATGTAACTATGTCATACGTCTGATGAGGCGCACTCCAACGATCCCAACCTCACTGCAGCAATTGTACTAACCTTACGGAGTAGTTTTAACATATTTCATAGTATAAGGCATGGCGCCAACGATTAAAGTGGCTGTTATCCAACTTCACCCGAAGGTATCTCATGCTTACCCCACACTGCATTACATATCTCATCGTCGCTTCCTACACTCGCTACCATCACTCAACAACTCCAGCCATTTACTAATGTTGATTAGCCCTTGCAACCAGAAATTAATTTCAGCAAGGCTGTCGAGTTTGTTCGCTCGGCAGCATCGCAAGGTGCTCAACTCGCCGTCTTGCCAGAGTACCATCTCACGAATTGGAAACCGAATGATCCAGAGTTCCTAGCCGTCGTTGAACAATGTGGAGGTTACCTAGAGAAGTACTGCAAGTTAGCCAAAGAGTGTAACATCTGTAAATCCCACCAACCCCTCATCTCTCCATCGACCAAACTAAGTCGTCTTATCCAGCCATCGTCCCCGGAACGATAGTAGAGTCCCATAAAGAGAACTCTGCCGAAGAAGACAGGCTCCTAAATGTGTGTTATTTCATCTCACCCTCTGGCGAGATAGCAGGAAAATACATCAAGAAAAACCTCTGGGGCCCCGAACGCGACCATCTCACAGGCTCAGGCCACTCTCCCCATGAAGTCTTCGACACGCCTGTGGGAAAAGTCGGTCTGCTGATCTGCTGGGATCTCGCCTTTCCCGAAGCCTTCCGCGAACTCATCGCCCAAGGCGCTCAGATCATCATCATCCCTACATTCTGGACCCTCAACGACTGCAACGCCGCGGGTCTCGCGCGTAATCCTGCTGCTGAGGCACTCTTCCTCGACTCCATGTTGACGGCACGCGCGTTTGAGAATACTTGTGCGGTCGTCTTTGCGAATGCGGGGGGTCCGCCTGGAAAGGGATATGCGGGGCTGAGTCAAGTTACTGTGCCGTTTGTTGGAGCTTTGGGAAAGTTAGGAGGGGCAGGAGAGGGCATGTGTGTTGTCGATTTGGATATGCAAATTCTAGAGGATGCTGAGAGTAACTATCAGGTTAGGTCGGATATTGCGAGGGGGGATTGGCACTACGTGTATAGGCATTCGAAGGAGGGGAAGCTTTGAGAATCAGTGGACTTGGAAATCGTCAGTTCAATGTGAATCTGCAAGCTTCTTCACTGATGTGAGTTGTTTACTCGATGCTTTTGTGTCTGTGAGCTTTGAGCAACTTATGCACATACTTTGGAGTCTGGATGGTTATGGGGATTTTACTAATCCTAATCTGGTAAGTTCCTCTACTGGTGTCAACAAACGTCGTGGAACCAAATTGGATGAAGTGCATTAATTGAAAAGCATTCTGTGCGATCTAGACTAGCATCCAAACGCCTCAGAGATCGCAAGAAGTGGTATAAGACAAAAGCTTCAGAAAGACAACCAGTAAACTCCTACCCACGATAAACACTGGTAGCGATAGGGTGCCTAATCGCGCCCAGCGCGCCAGCCCCTTCCCAAATTGTTCGAACGCCGATCATCTTGGGTTGTAGCGCGATTATTCAGCGCCAATCCATTGACCCGGGTCCCAAATGCAAATACCTCAGCTCTTCACATGGCGCGCGTGGTCTGTGGTCCTTCGCGGCCGCATGTCTGGATCCGTCTCTTGTTTCAACTTCCGCCACTACCACTGGCTTCACTGTCCGACCTCTCGTTCTTGCAGACGTAGCCCATCTCACTTGTAGTGACGCCGTGTTCATCCGTGCTCCAAGTCTCGCCTACGACAATGACCCTTGTTTTTCCTTTTTGCAGGAACTTCTCCTCGTCTCTTGCCAGAATAGCTGCGTTCTCTTTTGCATATATCTTCTTGTAGAACTCTTGGAAACGACGTTCGCTGTCAAAGGTCATTTCTGCGATGCAGTCACAGTCGAGCTCCATCATTTCGCCCCTTAGCATCAGAGGTGGTCGGTCTGGATTTGCCGGTCCACCGAAACCCTTCCGGCTAATCCGCGCGAGGTAGCGACGTTTGAACTCGATCGGCCAGCACGTCGCGAGGAGAGAATGGGCCAGAGGTATGTGCGTGTGCTCATAGTGGTCTCTGAATTCTTCCGATGTGAGATTGGGGTTGCGGGTGACGAAGAGGACGATGGTGTAGGACATGATGGCGGGTAATAAGCGAGTCCCAGCGCGGATATAACGATGAGGCGCTGCGACGAGAGCTGTAGCGTGGATGGTAGAGACAGTAGAGTTTTGACAGCGGCTGTGAATGCAGGTGGCTTCCAGAAGCTCCACGGATAGGGGACGGCGGGCTTTTGTAGTTTATCAGCCACATGCGATGCGAAGACATCATAACATGCACCGAGCGCGCCTAAAGCCTCCGTTATTGATTCACCATGACTGCGCGCATACTAGGGCGAAACTACGGACCCGGCGCCGTTGAATTGCATGGGCTCGCCAGACTTGCTCACGCCATCGCGGTGCACCAAGACTGAGGTGGATGCCGGTGAATCGAATCAGGACGAGTGCACGATAGAGGCCAACCGTGAGGGTTGAGTGGAGTGGATTCTGGCGCGGCGCCCCTCCCTCGGTGTTGATCCCAGTCGCGCCTGCACTTGCGAGTGCTTGGGTGCTATCGATAGCAGACAGACGCTAGCAAGCGCACAGAACGCCAAATTTCGCGGCAAGGCGGGGAGCAGCACCACGACACGACATTCACCCCCCCTAAAGCACCCGTGTGCCGTCGCCCAAACGAATACCCAACATGAGTCTGCGCGAGCGTGTTCCGCCGCAGTACCAGAATGGCGAGGCTGCCAGGCGCGCCCCGGATGACGACTCAGACGTCGAGGAGGAGGCCATGGCGAACGACTACCGGGAGCAGGTCCAATACGACGGCATGGAGGACCTCGACCGCATGCCCTCGATCAACAGCAACCAGGACATCCACGCGCAACTGCAGGCCGCGGCAACCCCCCTCGAATTCCAGGCCACCCTAGAGACCAAGTTTGCGAGTTACGACAGCTACTGCAACCTCTTCCACTACATCCTGAACTCCGAGGGTCCCGTCGACCTGGAAGTGCCAAACGTAAGGAATCTGGGTCAGTAGGCACATGGCAGGGCTAACACTGCGGATAGTACTACTGGGCCTGGGATGTCATCGACGAGTTCATCTACCAGTTCAACAGCTTCTGCAGCTACCGCCAACGGGTCGCCCAGAAGAACGAGAACGAGGAGGAGATTGCGCTCCTGCGCGAGAACCCAAACACATGGGGCTGCTACAGTGTCCTCAACGTCCTGTACTCGCTCATCCAGCGGTCACAGATTAGCGAGCAGCTCGCGGCCATGAAGCGGGGCGAAGACGCGAGTCTGTACGCTGGCGAGTACGGCAACAGGCCGCTTTACAAGATGTTGGGATACTTCTCCATCATCGGTCTGCTCCGCGTGCACTGCCTGCTCGGAGACTTCAGCCTGGCGCTCAAGACGCTCGACGACATTGAGCTTAACAAGAAGGCCATGTTCGCCCGTGTCATGGCCGCACACTTCACCACATACTACTACGTCGGATTCTCGTACATGATGATGCGACGATACTCGGATGCCATCCGCATGTTCAGCCACATCCTCGTCTACGTCTCACGGACAAAGAACTTCCAGAAGAACGCACAGTACGACTCCATCACCAAGAAGAACGACCAGATGTACGCACTTGTCGCCATTTGCGTAGCGTTCCAGCCCACCAGGCTCGATGACACCATTCACACTGCTCTGAGGGAGAAGTACGGCGAGCAGTTTAACAGGCTTCAGCGCGGTGGCCCTGAATCTCTCCCTCTCTTCGAGGAGCTGTTCCGCACCGCCTGCCCCAAGTTCATCAGCCCCACACCCCCCGACTTCGACAACCCAGAGGTCAACATCGACCCCGTGGAGCACCACCTCCGCATCTTCATGGACGAGGTCAAGAACAACATGATGTCGCCCACCGTCAAGAGTTACCTCAAGCTCTACACAACCATGGATCTTAAGAAGCTCGCTGGATTCTTGGAGGTTGAGCCAGAGAAGCTGAGGTGCTGGTTGCTTGTCAACAAGCAGAGGAGCAGGCAAATAAGGTGGGCCGAGGGCGGTCTGCTGGATGGTGATATCATCCAAGCTAGCGATCTCGACTACGCCATGGAGGGCGTAAGTACAAGCATAATCGAAATGAGAGATACATCTGCTAACAGTTACCAGGACCTTATTCACGTTTCAGAGGCAAAGGTCGGCAGGAGGCTTGTCGACTGGTACCTCCGCAACTTGGCCAGGACGTACTAGGCTATCACGAGTGTTTTCTGAGAGCGACTATTCACATTCGGGGCTTAGCCACAATAGAGCATTGCGCTTGGAGTTGGAGGAATATACGGCGTGCATCCAAAAGCGTGTTTGCGACATCTGAAGATACGCTTAGGCAAAGGCAAGGCGATTATAGGGGCCCAGGTCTGGGTTATTCATGGCTGGGGGAGCCTGTCCGCCGTGAGCGAGGAGCGGGCCGAAGGAAGGACAGGATGAGCGAGCGAACAATGGGCTTGCACAATACCAAATAAACTTTTCCGACTTTCAAACACACGTCTTGGAAGCGATTCAAATGTGGATGCGTGAATCCTTGCAACTCCATCTTGTTCATCGTGTGGGGAAGCAAGGGTCTCAAGGCCTTTGCAACAGAGTGGTACATGCTAGCGCAGTGGGTTGGACGGGACGGTACCTGAGCAAGCTTCGCTTCTACTCGACCAACACCATCCAAACACAGTCGGCAAGCAGATTCCGGTTAAAGCGCAAACACGCGTTCGGGGCAAGCACGTCCGACAAGACCATGGCAACCAAGTGAATGTTCTTGCCCCTCTCGGTCGCTCGTGCGCTCCGCTGATGCACTTTCCATCCATGTCCTTGGACAACACCCACCACGCCCAACATCTCCCTTCACCGACTATCACCAGTTACGTTATAAGTAGACGTTAGAAGATAGCACGTCTTTCACCCAGACCACTGCAATGGCTCCCGATCTGAATACCGTGCCTGTATCGCCCCATCCGGGTCCTGCTAACACAAGCAACCCGTCGACCTCACAGCCGGCGTCAGGCTCGCTGTCACGTCGAACATCCGCAACAGTCTCAAGGCGGGCGTCACAGATGGCTATGAGCCCCCCACCGCTGCCTCTTGCATCGCCCGGAGGTACCCTGCCACCGCCCGCACATTCAGCATCACAACATGGACACAGCTTCCCGCCCCTCAGTCCCAGCGCGAGTGGCTACGTCCAGGCGAGCGTCGACTCTGCAGGCGTTCCGATGAGACACCCACGCCCCATGACGCCAGCAGAGATGCATCTCGAGCTCGAAAAGGAACAAGAGGCAGTTGTCAACCGTCTGACGCGTGAGCTCTCGGCTCTACGCGCACATTCTGCTTCTGTAGCCTCCAACACCTCCATGTCAAGCACCGCAGACTCATCCGTCGCCCATGCCGAAGCCTCAACCGGTCCGATGCATCCCACGTCCTCCCGCCGCCACCGCAGTTCCTCGAGCGTCTCCCGTAGCGGTCTGCCACCGGGCTACATCCCACATCGCTACTCCATCTCCTCGCAACCCGCGACCGGCGATCCTAATCAGCGAGATCACCGTAGCTCGAGTGTCGTTAGCACCCCACGCTATGAGGAAGTTGCACAACACAAGGCGGAGTTGGAAGAAGTCAAAAAGGAAAATGAAGCCCTGAAGCAGCGCATTCGTGATCTTGAGCGTCAGATCAGGGGCAACAATGATGCTGATGGACAGAGGGGTAGGAGGGGTGCACCACAATCTCAGAGCAGCGGGGTTGGCAATGCTTCTGATAATACCCAAGTTCCTGCTAATGCAACAGCAGTCCCCGAAGAAAGCAGTCGATAGATTGAGAGTTCCGTAGGTACTGCGAGGCGTATTGATAGCACACGCTATGCTCATGATGCATTTGAGATGAGATGGAAGAACCATCGAGTGTCAGTTACACAAGCCATTGTCGTCATTCTTTCCGAGCAATTGAGTAGGTATGCACAACATACACCTCACTCCAACTCTCCTATCGGTCAGTCCAGCAAGCAGATGAGACAGATGTTACATTGATAATGAAGATAACCATCAAGTCCTTATTCATAATCCTCAAATCTCCTACATTCCTCTTTATCCTATCTGAACACCCTTATCAGATGCTTGCTTCTTCTGCACAAGGCGGATGCTGCAGATCCAGAGCTAACGCCGCTGATCCTCACATATGCGCCTAACGGACCATATCCCAGTGTCGATCCGTTTTCCACGGCAGATCACTTTTGCGGGATTTGAATGACATGTATGTACGACACATCGTGGCGTACTTGACAGGTATGCGTTTAATGCCTCGTGCTGGGATGCCTGAGAGGACGGGATAGGATGGGGTGACATTAGATGTAAGCAAGGTAAACCCCGCGTACGTCATTAGGACGAGGCACGGGTCGAAGGGTGCTACAGACAGCTTGCATTTAACGGGATAAAGGTAGGTATACGTAAGATTGGACAGCTGAGTTGGTTCCAAATAGCCTCTTGTTTGTGATTCTTCTTGTGAGAGACAAAGTGTTGCTATTGATCCTCACTGGCACACATCTTGTTACTATATATTCGATATCGCATACCTTGAATCTCAAATATCATCCAAGTTCTGAAGCAAAATGACATGGCTCGCCAATCTCCGGGATAAAATGAGTAGCAGCACAGAGAAGCGAAGGAATAGCAGACAATTTGACGATACTCCTAGTACGTACACCTACGCATTCTCTCCATACCCTCACTCTTATGCCCTCTTGTTAACATCGTAACCAGCTCTTGCAACGAGTCCGACTACGTCAGCAACTACATCTGATAAGCCAGCACCACCGCCAATCAACCCCTTGCCCCTAACCTCCACTCCCGCGTCTTCAAATCTCACGTCTGCTTCTCCGCTGTCGGAAGTTCAAAAACCTGCCTTGTACCACACACCCACCGACATCATCACCGCGACAGAAAAAGGTATGATAAGTGGTTCCCTCTGCGCCACGATGCCGAGCTCCTCATCTACGGCTTCAAGTCAGAAACATGATTCTGAAGCGAGGGATGTGGCGGCGGATGCAGAGGAAGAAACGGCTCCTGTATTAACGAGGGCTGAAGAGGCGTGTGTTGGAGAGGGGAGGAAGGGTAGTTGGGCCGGTGGAGAGAGGGAAGGGGGCAGGTGTGTCATGTTTAAAGGGGTTGATGTGTAAGTATTGGGGACGGATAAGATGGGATAAGAGCGTACACAGAGACTGAAATGCTCAGAAGTAATATACGATAGAATTGAGAGACTTTTGACAGTCTCAGAGTATGCGAGAGACAGGCTCTCAAGGGAAGACGTGAGCCCATAGTAATCAAAGAGTGCGCAAGGCAATAAGAATACCATGATCACTCTTGTCGCGTGCATCAAACTCTCCTGCTACCCGTCATCTTCCTGTTCTCACTATGACGCTTAGCCTTCAAAGCGTCTCGTCTCCTCTTCTTCCACGCCCTATTCAAATCTCCCCGGTTCTCCCAGAACCATCTTTTGAACTCGCTCTCAGGCTCTTGCTCGTTTGCGCCGGTAGCCGCATCGTCCTCGTCTTCTTCTGCAACGCCGGCTAGCTTGCTGGCATTCGCTCGCGTGTTGTGAGACAATCTTTGTTCAGCAAGTGAGTCTACGTCGTCCATGTCCTCGTCGTCGTCGGCTTCTTGGCTGTTCTTGCGCCAGTCGAAGGAGAAGCGGCGGCCAATGGCGGCAGTGTCTGGGGTAGGTGCTGCACTTCGGAGACCTCTCCACTCGATGTCTCTTTGCGTAAAGGGCGTGGTAGGAGCTCCCTCAGTGGGCTCGCCGTCGGCTTCCATGATGTCTTCGTTGTTGTCGAAGAAGCTGAAGGATGTGTCAATCGGAGTGAGCTTCTTGGTGGGGGTTGACGTCGCGCCATCAGCGGGCTTTGCACGCTTGAACAGTGCTTCAAGCGGGTGGACTTCTTTCTCTGATGTCGTAGTAGGCTGAGCCTCTTCGGGGGCTTTCTTGCTCTTAGCGACTGGGGCTGGAGAAGATGCAGATGATTCGGGCTCTGATTCCTCCTCTTCCTCTGAATCAGAGTCGGAAGAGTCCTCATCTTCCGAAGAAGACGAAACCACTGATGATTCATCGTCTTCAGATTCAGATGATGACGGGGGAGGAGTAGCTTTCTTCTTCTTCTGGTCCTTGGATGTAGACGAAGATTTTGCTGTACCATCAATCCAGGCTCTTTGAGCTTCTGAAGGCGCATCTACCAACTCCAGAGCCCTCCTAGCCTTGGCCTTCCCAGTCTCAGGCTCGACAACAACACCGTCCTCATCTACCCACCCCTGTCCATTGACATAGTCGACTGCAGGCTTCGTCGATAGCGCCACCTGTGGTTGTTTCAAGAAGCTGGGAGTCTTGATGTTCTTCTCAAACTCATGAATTACCACGTCTCGGTTGGACTTGTTCTTTTCCTTCTTCTCTTTCTTCCCTTTCTTCTCGTCCTTGTGTGCAACCTCTGTCGCGGCAACAGGCGTCAGCTTCGCCTTGAAGAGCACCTCAGGCTCTTTAGTGTACTTGGAGTGCTTGCGCTCCTTCTTCGCTTCCTTTCTGGCCTCCTTGTCGCTTTTGTCCTTTTTATCCTTCCGGTCTTTCTTGTTCTTGGGCGCTGGTTCGGTCCATCCACGCTTGACCTTCCTGTCGTCTGGTAGCTCAACGCCGTCCAGTACGCCCTGCTCCTTCCCCTTCTTCTTGTCCTTCTTTTCTTTTTTCTCCTTCTTCTCCTTCTTGTCCTTCTTCGCGCGTTTGGACGGTCGTTCGGCGTCCGAGACGTCTTCGACAGCGTCGCCCACCAAAGATTTGCGCTTCTCAGATTTCGCCATTTCTATGCGCACTTTGGAGCCTCTCAAGGTTGTGCCGTTCAGCTTCTTCTTGATCTTTTGAGCTTCGGTCTCGGGTAGCTCTACGTAGCCGAAGCCTTTTTCGGGAAATGTCGCGACGGTATGGTAAGAGATGTTTTGCGCAGAGGGAAGGACAGACGGCGCGATGTAGACCTTGAGCAGATCGGGGCGAAAAGGCGTAATATGCAGGCGAACGATCTTGCTTTCGGGTTGCGCTTCGGGAGAATTAGCCGCTTGTGCTGCTGGCATTGGGTCGCAAGTTTTGCGCGCGTGCGACAGATGTAGATGACTGCGCGCAAAGGCTTCAGGGGACCTCAATCAAAGAAGATATGCTACAAGCTTGACCGGCGCTTGTAAGCGTCGTGTTGGAGTGTCGGGGCCGGAGGGGAAAGGAAAATGCTTAGCGCGAGCAAGGGACCTAGCTCTCTGGTGTTAGCGCGAATGCGGGCGGAGGTTTGGAGCTCCACTCGTCTATTGATCCATTGGATACTCATCGCGACTGCACTGGGATAAAGGTCTAGAAGCAGGACATATAGACATCCCTTCGACAATTTGATTGCTTCATCATCTACACGAACCTCTACGTCTTCTGCCGTTGATCGCCATCGACCCACGATGCGGAGACCACCATACCTCCTCTTCCTTCTCCTAACATTCCTCTCGTCCCTCTCCTTATCCCTCGCAGCCAGTATGTCTCGCCTCTCCCCATGCTCAGAAACTCGCTGATATGGTGTAGCACCCACATCGTTTTGCAAATGTACCTGTTTTGGCAACAGCACCATTGTAGCGCTCGATGCGCCGTCCACCACCAAGAAACCCGCCGCCCTTGAATTAAAACCCCGCGCCTCCAAGAAAACATGCAACGACTGCAACCGCCAGTTCTGCCTCGGCTACGGCTTCTGCGCTGGAGAGAAAGAGGAGAACGTGCTCACAACATGCTTCCAGCGGGATTCTGCGAAAGACCAGGCAGTGGTCTTTGTGTTTATCGGGGCGACAGTGGGGCTCTTGGGGTGGGCAGCTTTACGGCCTTGGGTCGAGGGATGGAGAGAGGTACGTGCATGTGAGCGAGACCGGGTAGATGGTAGACTGACTGAAGGCAGCGTGCACGGGAACGACGAAGCTATATCCCAGTGGCTGGTCAAGGAAACTAGTGAGCGATGCGCTTGGTTTGTCAGGCTGAGAAGCATTCAACTTCGATATGGATTGAACGTGCAATATAGACATGAAGCTGAGATGCCCAAGACAATCGTGGACTCCTTCATGACTCTGAAGAACTCCATCATGCAAACATCTAATGTGACAGCAATGTACAAGCTGAGGTCGTATATGGTACACTGAAGCGTCTGGCTTCGCGCTCCGCCGGATTCCTCCCCTATTCTTTCTGACATCTACTCCTTCTTGGACCCGCCCTTCATCCATCCAAACCATCCCTTGCCGGTTTCCTCGACCTTGTGTACTGCCTTCTCTGCTGCGTTGTCCAGAGGGCCTCCGACTACTGGTGTTGATGACGTCGAGGCTGTGAATGTGGATGTGGTGTCGTGTGCCCTGGCCTCTTGCACTGCAGCAGCAATGCCCAGATTTGTGTTTCCTTGCGCTTCCTGGCGCTTAATCTCCTCTACAGCGAGTCTCCTCTGCTCTGCGATTGCCTGCTCCTCCTTCCAGTCACCGTGCAGCCACCACAGCAGCTTTGAAGGGGCCTTTCGCTCCGCCTTCTTCCTCTCAAACGCTTCTTGCTCCTCGGCGATACCTGTGACGAGTGCGGATTGTGCGGGTGTGGCGGTCCCTGATGCGACCGCAGAACGGGCAAGTTCGAGGATCTTGGCCTGGGCTTGTTCTTCTTGGGCAAAGTAGATTGCTCGTTTCCGTCGATTGTAGACGATCATGTCACCTATTGAGAATACTGCGAGGACACCAACGCAACCTGTGTAGACAATTAGCATCTCTGCTATTCTGTGACCAGTGTAGCCATTGGCCCGCCATGTGCCCACATACCCGTTGCAAATATCAAGCCGTAGACGGTAAATCTATGCGCCGCATCCGCCGCCATTCTGCCGTACAGATACATGTAATCCCACCTCGTGACCTGTGCCATCTTCGCCCTGTTCGCAGCCTCTCTTAACCGCTTGACTTTCTGCTGTGGCGTTTCATTTTTCGGTGCGGGATCTGCGAATTGCAGCGTTGTTGCCCGCCCGCCAGGTCTTGTGTGCGCCCACACTCCGGTGGCTGTGAATCGCGTTGAATCTTTTGGTGACTTCGACATGATGCGTGGGAGAAGCACTCGAGAGTCAAGTGTTGTGGTTGTGAAGGGAGGATGTCGTGAAGATTGCGGAGCGGGATATCGAATGATTCGACGATTTCCAAAAGTTGAGATGGACTAGGGTTCGATGCGGAGATTTCCGCCCATCTACCCGCTAACGTCCATCGTCAGCCGTACCAAGCTAAAATGCTAATTGCATCTATCTCATGCATGCATCAGACGGTCGCTAATGCATTCATTCTCAGATTGCGGGAAGAGACAGCATGCGTAGCGCAGTCCGACGATTGCTTCTTCCCTTACATTCTCATTGATCTAAGCGCAAACAGCACGCGCCATGTGCCGTCATTCACGCGTCCAGCTAACATCAAACTACCACAACTCTGACATTTCTTATTTCCCCTGATACCATCAGCTTGAGGAGTCAGATTGCCATCACAATCATGGCGGATAATATCAGCCAGAACCTCGATCTCGAAAAGATCTTGGCTACACTCGCAAACCTTCCAAAACCAGAGGCTCAGCAATACCAGGATCAGCAACAGCCATACAAGCCCAACCAGAGTCACCAAGGATATCAAGACGCTCAGCAAATTTACTCCTCTGGACAAAGCAACACATATCAGCAACCTGCTGATCCACGACTGGCTGGTCGTTCGGCTCTTCAACATCGACAGCCGCCTCCCAAGCCACAGGACAGAGTCTCCTCCCCTTTCATTGATCCTTCAACAATCACGGAATGGAAGCAAGGCCTGCGTTGTGTGAGCAAGATAGCTTCTCAGAATCCCGACTTTGCTCCTGCCGTCCGTAAGGTAGGCTATACACCCGTATAAATCAACATACAATGCTTACGTAGAAGTTAGTTGATGAAAGACCAAGAGTCAAACGTCAAGTCTTGGGAGTCCGGGCGCAAGAATCTCATTGATGAGCACAAGTTCAAGCGGGAGAATGAGCGAACTAATCGAGCTGCGTTGTAGGTAGTCTGACCTTGTTCCCGTGATGCTAGACTGACGTTCGTAGGTCTTTGCCAGGTCTTCTGGAAAACACACCTTTACTTCGCGTATTTCACACTGTCTTCTTCCCCATGCAATGATGCTGACGACACGTAGACACCAGAACGCGAAAGAGAAGAACTTGATCAATACGACGCCAAAGTATACCGAGCGTGTAAAGCCATGGTAGACTCGCAAACCTCGTCACTCAAGGTCTTGGGCGTTCCCTTTTTTGGTGTGAAGCCGTATTTGGTAGTTGGCTCCAGCTACGATCCGACTGAAGTCACGGATCCGCAGTCAGCTCCAGTTAATGGTAAAATCTCAAAAGAGCAGCTCCTAGAATTACAACGGAAAATGCTGAACCATTTGATGGAGCTATATGGAGATTGAATGGAAGCAGTCTTGACGATGTTGGAAACATTGTTGGATGAAGACCAATGCTACTTTGTGCGTATTGGCGGTAGGTCATCGGTTCTGGCCCGCTCAGGCGAGCATGACGAACGTTTCCCACAAGATTATGCTGATACAGCACCAGTATTTGAGAGCATCTCTGCTGTTACTATCTTGGCCTCAGTGTTCGATCAGAATAGACTTTCGCTCCTTCATCACATTTGATGTTGAGATTGAGTTCTCATCCTCGTCTTTGGGTCGGGCAGTTTCTTTACATTGACCTTTCTTCGCTAGTCACCTTCAAGTACTGTTTGGACATACTATCGCATTGCAGTAATGATGTCAGTTGCGCGTTGTCCTCCGTCCAGCATACAAGAGTGTGGGGGTCACCACACTGAGCACGATTCACGTAAGTGCAAACGCACACGAATCTCCCATTCACCTCCAGGTAATATCCTCGACGCCATTGGTCCCCACCGTGGGAAACAAAGCTAGTCTCTGTTGACCGCGACCAAAGCACGTGCAGCTCAATCTGTTATCATAACATCCCCTTTCGTATTTCCTTCTACAACTTTCTCACCTCATTACACTCATTGAAATCTCTCATCGTTCCCACACTCTTTTGCTGCTCACACTCGTTATCTCACTTCTACCCGCTACACCCTCAGTCGCTCCCTCGATCACAACCATATCTATTCAGCAAGATGCATAGTATGCGTGCACTCGCCCTTGTCGCAGTTGCTGGTAAGCATACTCCAGTCCACATACTTAAGCGATTTTGCGTCCCAGCTGACTGACACTCAGCAGGCGCTGCCGCCGAAGCAAGTCAACAGGGTCACATCATGGAGCACATTCACGCTCCGGCTATGATTCCTCGCGACCACTGCACTGATCTTCCGAAGCTCTGCACAGATCCGGTGCTCTTGCGCGGTCATGAGATCACTCTGACCTATCTATGTCCCGAGACCGAAGGTCCATCCACTGTCACCGCCACCACAACGCGTACTATCACCGTGACAGTAGGCCTGACCTCTAGCGTTTCTGTTGTGGCTACCTCGGACAGTCAGACGCCTGTGATAGAAGAGCCCACCACGACTGAGACGGTCAAGTCAACAACTCAGGTCACTGTCACCAATTTTGTCACTAGAGTCACCGCTAGCACTACTTCGTCGCCTCTTTCTCCACCTACCATCACCTGGTCCTTCACGGCTATTCCTCCTGGCGTTGGCTCCACACCAGTGTCTTCTGTCAAGGCTCCTACATCTGGCGCCAGCAGCTCTTTCGAGTTGTCCCCTAGCCATGTAATTAACAGCTCGTCTTCCGTTGCCTCTACATCCTCGAAACCTACATCTAGCGCCAGTGGCTCTCTCGAGCATTTCCCTACTTATGTCATCGTCAACTCGTCTTCGATCGCTTCAACATCCTCGGTGGCTACTTTACCTTCCCTCGGTATCCATAGGCCGATCTACTGGAACCACACGGCTGTTCACCACACTGGCGTTCATCACATTATCGATCACCCTACTCTGAACGTAGTAAGGGATGCCGAGGCCAAGTCCACCGAGACTGTCACTACTACCGCTGCGATCGCGACTGAGAGTAAAAAGGGTCAGGCAGGAGATATCCAGGCCTCATTCATTGCGCTATTCTTCGGTGTGTCGGCTGCCACCCTACTTATCTAGGAAAGCATGGATGGCTACTCCTGTTGGATACCTGTATGGTGCTGTCATGAAAGGGAGGTCTGGACAGCATGTACGATGATGTTACGACGAGACATGTGGAATGTTTTCACGAGATTCATGAAATGTATTTTAGCATGATGTCGAGATGGTCTTATGAGGCGGACAGAGATATCCCACCCAACGAATACATAATTGTATGTGAATCGCTTGGGCTCTTGAATGACATGTGCTATAGGTTGGTAATTTGAGGATACTGGATCTACAAGGCGTAAGATTGGTCCAGAGTATTTGAGGATCTATTCGAAGAATATGGCCCATCAATGGTAAAGTAGAGCACACACCTGTGGTCGTGATTTAGCTCTTTTCGTGCGATGCAACTTCGAACCGTGGAAAACCTTGCTTCAACGCCGGAGTACGTCCTCTGACTGGTTGCAGCTGCATGTTGATGGTAGAATCCAGAAGACGATGTGCTTCGGATTTCAACTCTTTTAGCTCTTCCAAGGTCTTAACAAAGTCTATTCTTTCCTGCTCGAAGCTTCGAGATAAAACCTGCGCGCTCCTCAGCGATGAATTCCATGGCCACAAGTGCTGTGGAATGATGGCGAGTTGGAAGACATGATGGTTCGAGGACCTGGGGGTCGTGCGCGTACCTAGGTAGCTTCGTGACCCAATGGCTGGCCAGACGCGCGACCGCGACGAACAGCCTCAGGCTAGCCTTCAAGACCACCTGCAGTCAGGCAAGCGGCATCTCCAACCACAGCTCACAAGATCACCACAACCACGGTCGGCTCCAATTGTCGCACCTCCCTATCAAACACCAACGCGCGCAACAAAGCCATCCCGCCGACACGACGAGATCGACCGCCTCTGGAAATAATAGACCGCCTTTCCCGATAACGACAACATTCTGGAATAAGAAAGTCCCCAACACTCACCCGCCGCGCGCATTGATGCAACACTGCGAAGAACGCTACAACTCGATCTTTCTCTCACGCGGCAAACATCAAGTCATTGACTCGCTTCTTGGGTCGCGATTGTCGCAAGCTTGCATTGGAAGACACGACTGGCCGTTGGCAGATAACTCGGCAACATGGTTGGAAAAAAGTCGGGCAGAGCCCAGTTGAGAGAGGAGGGTAGGGCATCTGCACGCCACAACACCGTATGGCAACTAACAAGCTTGCAGGTCTGGAGCGGACAGACAACAATATGGACCTCACGACGTGGCCCCAGGTCGGCATGATCAACCAGAAGAACTACTACACCGAGTTCCTGAAGCGCGACGAACAATTCCTCGCCGTACGATACCCAAAGGATGAGGAAAGGGCGCGCATAGTACAGGAAGCCAGGGACAAGGATCGCGCACGAGCATTGGGGGTGCCGGCAACAGAAGGAGCCACGCCACAGGTTGCAGATGAAACCATGGAAGACGCTGAGGTCTCATTCGCCTCTAGAACAGATATCTCCAAGCTCATCGTGATACACCCTGGCAGCCAGAACTTGAGGATAGGTCTTGGATCTGATGCGCTACCGAAGACCGTGCCTATGGTTATCGCACGAAAATGGAAAGAGAGCGAAGACGAAGAAGATGAGGGGGAGCCTAGTCCCAAGCGGATGAAGGTCGAAGGCGAATTGCCCGCGGACGCCCTGCCTGAGAAGTGGTTTGGAGAGGATGTGCGTACTCTAACACAGCGTTCCCAGTCAATGCTAACTTGCGACCAGTTTGCCGACCAGTACATGGCCATGTCGTCCGAATTGAGAACGCGAATGCGATCGAACAAGCGACGAGTGCTACCCAACTCGAAAGATCTCGTGACGAACTTCAACCGAAAATCCCCTCCCGACATCATCTCAGAACACAACGACATCAATCGCATCGAGTGGACAGAACTACCGGCAGACCCAAAGAAGGCCCCCGACTTCTTTACCGGGCATGACGCCCTGCGGATACCGGAAAGATCCAACCCACGATACAAGCTGTTCTGGCCGATCCGGAATGGCACGTTCAACGAGAAAGATTATCGAGACCGCAACCAGATCTACCACGACATCTCAAAGATATTAGAAGAGGCGTTCCGGAATCAACTTGGGATCACCAGGTTAAAGGATCTTGTTAACTACAAGTGCGTCTTCATCATACCCGATCTCTACGAGCGACAGTACGTTACTATGATACTCGACATTCTCATGCGGGATCTTGGCCTTGGAAAGGTTTGCCTGCAGCAGGAGTCGCTTTCGGCTACCTTTGGTGCTGGCTACGGTGTTGCCTGTGTTGTTGATATTGGTGCTCAGAAGACGTCTATTTGCTGCGTCGACGAAGGGCTGTGTGCCGAGGAGTCACGCGTCAACTTGAAGATGGGTGGAGCTGACGTGACGGAAACTTTCATCAAGATGATGCTGTATGGTCATTTCCCATATTCGGACATGAACCTGAAGCGTAGATACGACTTCCTCCTTGCGGAAGAGCTGAAACAGAAGTTCTGCTCCATGGATGAAGGCTCAGTCACGGTACAAACGTGGGACTTTCATCTTCGAGCTTCGGGTCAGGATACCCGGAAGTACACGTTCAAGACATACGATGAGACTATGCTATCTGTCATGGTAAGTCACACATGTTCCTAAACTATAGGCTTTGCTAACAGACACAGGGTTTCTTCAAGCCTTCGATCTTCGAGAATGCACGGAAACTCGAGAACAGAAGGAAGGTTGTGCCGCGCTCGGTCGATCTGTATGATGGCTCACCAAACGATCCCATCTCACAAGCACAGATTGCCATTATCGAAGCCGCGGCGGGTAAACCTGTCGTAGCCACCATAAATGGCGCACAAGATCCCGTCAACAGCACTGCACCGGTCTCTACGCCCCAACGCCCGCAACCAAACCCTTTCAACCTCCTCGGTCGCCTCAACGACAACGAGGGTACACCTCGATCATCCGTAGCGGGCTCACCTGGCCCGGAAGGAAGTAACACCCCAAACCCGGATCGTGACACTCCGATGGGCGACACTGACGGCGCACCCCTCCTCTTCCGCGATCCGATCCACGAGAAGACCAAACTAGCCGAGGCTCGCGATGCCATCCTCCCCATCCACTCTCTCGACCAAGCCATCCTCGAGTCCCTTGCGCAAGGTGCTCGTGGCGACGACCGTAAGCTCCGCGACTTCTTCGGTGGTATCATGCTCGTAGGTGGCGCCTCCAAGACACCCGGCCTAAGGGAGTTCCTGGAGATGCGACTTAGAGAACTCCGACCAGGATATGGAAAAGAGATTCTCGTTGGACCGCCACCTAGAGACTTTGACCCACAGGTTGTGGCTTGGAAGGGCGGTAGTGTGTTTGGAAGATTGAGTGGACATGGTAACGACGGATGGATTAGCCGGTATGAGTATGACATGTTGGGTGCGAGGTTGTTGAACAACAAGTGCATGTTTGCTTGGTAGGACGGAACAAGCAGACCATGAGACGTTGGATTGAGGAGGCAGAGATTGACTGATTGACATGCAGAAAAGATGTTTTACTGGTTAGTATCGACAGTGCGGTGTTGTGAGATATTGAGAATAGCCATCCGGTCAGAGATCGAATTCCATGGCGATGGGAGAGAATCTGATAACTCATTCAAATACCAGCCTTTTCTAAAGCGCCCTTCTGGTTCCGTTCGCCCATCTCTGTGGACCTTGATTACTGTAGTGGTCAGTCTGTAGATTGGGCACAGCTGGTAAGTTGAAAACTCTTGCGTGCAGATTGTATTATACTACATACACTAATGACATAACGGGCTGGAATCCCAATAACTCACATTCAGATCCCTATGTCTTACTCCATCCACCCTCACAGTGTGGTATCACAGCTGGAGCTCCGACCTGCTTCCATCTTTCACACGTCGTCGGGCTCCACGTACATGCGCAAACCACTGGCTTATAGAGAAACCTTGGCGGACTCACAGACCTTCTCGTGGATCTTCCAGTGCTTCTTCTGGCACGAAGTTGAGCAGTACTTGCGGTTCTTGCACTTGCCACATGCGAGCAGGGCCTCGCCTTTCGGTCTAGATGCTACACCACAGCCACCACACTCATTTGGCTTATTCAACTGCGAGCGAAGTTCCTTGATGACTAGCGAGGTTGATGTGGTGGTCATGCCTAGAATTTCGTCCACGAAGTCAGTATATGCCTCACATGCAGCTTGTCTAAGGAGACCACTTACCGGTGTTGAAGAAACCGCCAGGACCAGGCACATTCATAAGCATGAAACCTCGTCCGTTGTCCTCGGGCTCCTTTGCGGGTTTAGAGTTTGCCTCCTCAAGGATGGTCTTGGACTTGAAGTCATACGGCTCTCCGTTCTTGTAGCCACCTGGACCAAAGAGAGCTTTCTTCATTTGCCGCTGTCCGTCGGGCATGACTCCACCTTCAGTGTAGACCTTCTTGAGCATCGCCAGGTAAGTGGCAGGAAGTTGGCATCCGAGCGTCATAGCGCAAGCACCGAGCAGGATGTACTCGTAGCAAGGATCTGTCGACCAGTCTCCGAACAACTTTTCCTTTAATCCAGTGGTGCGAGGGGTCAGCATCTTCGTCTCCTTCTTGGCGATCATGTCAACGAGGATACCGGAGTCAAGGTGCCTGCGGACCAACTCAGGATCTGAACAAAGGTTGGCGTAGATGCTGTAGAAGATATCGCGCTCTATATCTTCATCACTCTTTCCTGCGGCTTTGGCACTGACCCGGGCGTCTTTTCCGAGTTTGGTGAGTCCTGCTTCGTGGCTTAGATCGCTGACCATGTCGAAGTCGTGGTCCGACTGGAACAGGCCTGGCGTTACGTTAGTAGATGAGATTAGTTTGCTGTCACAAGCTCAACACTCACAGTATCCCCAAGCACCCATCTTGAACTTTCGGTACGTATGGACTCTGGTACAGTGGAGTAGAAGTAAGTGATTGGCGAAAGCAGTGACGACACACTACCGTGGATAGCTGTTGTCCGACGTAATCGTTGCTTGCAAGTCACTGAGCGATCAAAGTAAAGGTGAGTGAACGCGGATCTGGGCTGCCTTCGCTGTCAGGGAAAGAGCAGTGACGCGTGGTCCCGTGATCTGGATACCTGCACTTTCCTCGCTCACACACGCCACATCTCGGTCTATCTACTGAGCGGTCGTAATCCGTCCACAGCGGCGTTGTTTGTCGTCCCGCGTGCTGTGAGGCTCGGCCTTGATGAACTCCATCGACGGAGTGAAGTGGCCTTGGCCTGCAACGCTCTTTAGCCTGGAGACGGACTGCGAGAAGGAAGTACCAAGAGGCAAGCTGTTTGTGTCCTTTGCACGATCCTCCTTTTCATCAGCGCTGTTATCAAATGCGATACACACTTTTTGTCCCTGGCCGTACGTTATGATACGTAAACCTTCAAATTTTCTTAGAAGAGATTTAAGTGGTCTTAGGGGTATGGCATGTAGTATGCACCGCTTTCTATTCCGACTTAGTCAGCCTCTATTATTGAGAGTTTACTACCATTCGGGCATATTATGGGTATATCCTTTACCCCGCACGCCCCACAAGAAGCGGTGTAACAAGATAGCATATAAGTAGAGGTAAGCATCGAGCGAGTTGACCAAGGAAAAGTTGCTGTGGTCTTGCAAAAACACATTCATCACAACACAGTCATGGCGTCTTCCAACGAGAATTATCCACCAGGGCCATACGAGGCGGACAAACACATAACACCTCCACCTAGGCCAATTTCCCCGTCAACCGCAGAATACCAACTCAACCATATGATGATACGTATCAAGGATCCAGAGAAGAGCATGAAGTTCTACTGTGACTGTTTGGGCATGCATGTCATCTTCATCTTCAACGCCGGGCCGTTCACGATCTACTATCTCGGACCACGAGACGTTGGTACATACATCCATGATCTATTTACCTATGATGAAACACTAAAACACTTATAGGTATGGCTAATCTTCGAACGTCAAAGGGCTTACTGGAATTATATCATATTCCCGCAGACTCGTCTACGCCTTATACTTCTGGCAATGACTACCCTGGTCCTGGAATTGGGCTTGGTCACCTTGGGTTTACAGTTCCTGATGTCGCTGAAGCAGTGGAAAGGGTTAAGAGCCACGGGTTCGAGGTCATCAAACCGTTGGATGAGGCGAAGGAAGAGCAGATGGGTATACCGGCAGATGCTGTTGCCGGAAAGCATGGAAAAGTGCCAGATGGGTACAAGCATCTCTTTAAACAATTGGCTTTTGTGAAGGATCCTGATGTAAGTGACAGTTTATTGGCAAGAGTAAGTGGAAGAAGCAATATGCTAATAACCAGTGTTTAGGGCTACTGGGTTGAATTCATACCACCAGCTTTCAGAGCCGAGTAGCTAATGAAAGCAGTTCAAGGTTGCGTGAGACTTCAATTGTAGAACGGTTGAAATATTTGTTGCACCTAGCTTCTATATGACTGATCTCTCTTCTCTATTTTCCTTACTGGCAAGCTCTCAACCCAGCTCAACGACTTTATCATCTTTCCACTGACATTATGGCACCTCAACCTCAGCCGAACACAGAAACTTCTGTCCGAGCCCCAAAGCGAGACATCGACGGGTAAATTGCCTCTGATATCCTTTCTGTCTGCATCATTACTGACAAAAACCTAGTTTCATCAAGTCTCCCCTGGTCAAAGTGTTGATCGGACCAGATACCGACCGCTCAGAACTGCATATTCACCTGTCGATCATAGCAGCACGATCTGAGTTCTTTGCAAGCGCTCTAAATGGCCGATGGAATAACTTTGATACCAAAATTGTTGACCTCTACAAGGCTGCTCCAGATCTTGTCCTGGAAGACGTCGCACACTATTTGGAAGCTGTTTACACGAACCAGATCGACGACGAGAACCATTCGAAGCGTTTCGATGATATTTGTAAGGTGTACGTAGTAGCTGAGCGGTTACATGATGTACAGACACGTAACCTAGCTGTTGAAGCACTGTATAACCGGATGCAACGGCTTGATCCTACTACCACGGTCCCCGGTCCAAAATGTCTTGACATTATTTATGAAGGCACAGCTTCAGCTAAGGATCTGATGCGAAAGCTGATAGTCGACACATGGTGTACTTGGGGTGTTGATCGACTTGAAGATTTTCTTGAGGATTTTCTGGATACTGCTCCTCGACAATTTTTGGTTGAGCTTGCGGCGGCTGCGGTTAGGAAGCTGGTTGAGGACAGCGAGGATCAAGAGTTGATTCTTGATGTGAAGGCTTATCTTGAGGACTAAGCTCTCAGAGTGGTAGACCAGCTTCTCTAGGGTTTGAGAAGAATGCATGTCGTCATAGATGAATAAGACACGTCAAAAAGCAAAGTCTGAGCCATTGTTCTTAACACCTCCATGACAGACAAAGAAAAAATCACCAGCACTTCGCTACAAGCGTTTCCAAGGCTCCTAGCAGAGGACAGTATAACCACCATCATAACGGTTTAGGATGAGGCTACAACCTCGAAAGCGTTAAACCAGCGGCGCCGGACGGAGCGTTGGACGATGCGCTAGGACAGGTACCCGTTCGCTAGCTCGAACAAGACCCTGCATTCCACCTCCCGCAACGTCTCAGATGGTGCAACCAGATATAGGTATGGAATTGGACTTTGAGCATTTATATTCTTTATTCATGTACGCAGCCAGTACAGGGCGCGACTCACGAGACATAGCGTCAACGTGCAGCTGACATCTAGGATCCGGTTTTCCGTTAGCGAGACGATCGTTGCAAGGATGCCATCCAGAGTTTCAGATCCGGGGTCAGTGGAGGTCACTCCCTGGAGCCTGACTCCCTGAGGATATCGCCCAACATGCTGTACGTTTCATCAGATCCTTACAGTCGCTCTTTAACATCTGTAGCCCAAACACTGACTTGAAAGAGCAATGGGCTATCCCCGCGAACGTTATCGCGTGTGCGATGCGAGTAGACGGCAAAGAAAGGGGTTGGTGGTGGCAGCGGCGCAATATGACGTGCCCCAAGACAAAATTCCAGGCTTGTGAAGCCAATCTTTAGCCGCCAACCTGCATTCGGCCACCGTCGTTTCCAAGTCATAAAGCCATGTTTACCTGGAATTGCCCTGGGGGTTGCGTTTCCCATCTTCGATTTGGTGGTAGCTATGGATAAGCTGAAGTCCAAGACGCGTTCGGCGCGCAACAGACTCGCCGAAGCGACATCGTCGGGCTCAGGTACGGGCGAGCTGCATGTTCCACACCAATCTCTGCCACCCCACGAGAACTCCAGTACCCATGCTGTCAACGAAGGCTTCCAGAGCGCCGAGCCTGGGACCAATGCGCAGGACTTCGGAACACCAGCAGGCGAGCCAACACGACAACCTGTCATCGAACCGCCTACCTCGCTAGAGTCATCCATTGACGCTGGCCAACATGTTCCCAAGCCTACGAGGGCGAGCGATCCCTCATCGCATGTTACGTACAGGTAGGCTCTACGCACAAGGACGAGGGGAAGGAGCGATGCTGACCCGTATCCAGTACTCTTGCTGCACAACGAGCAAGAAGCAGCTCTGCGCCAACTAGACCCCAGCAATACCCACGACGACCTCAAGCCTACCGTCAAGCCAGTATTGGTATTCGGCGTATACCCTCCTCTAACGCCCTGAGACAAGCAGCACAGAACCCCAATGCCGCCTCAACAATAAGATCAAGTACGCCTCTGCCTGCACTGGACGAAGAACAAGAGCTGGGACAGTTCTCCTCTTCCAACGGGAGTCAGTCGACCCTCACGAACCCTGAGCCAGATCGAAGTCGACTGCGGAAGGTCAAGAGCGCAATACAGACCAGGATACCCTTCTGGGGCAACAAGGAGGAGGAGAAGTCACCGACAACCAGTGCCCATGCTGCTGCACCGGCAGACGATATGTCGTCCAACTACACCTCTGGCATGGTCGACGTCCTGGATACCATCGATCCTGAGGTTGCGACGCTTACTTCTTTGACAAACATGCAGAATTCGCTTTTCATTCCCAATCTACCCTGGCTCAACCGTCGGCCGACGTACAACCTACGTCGACGGAAGAGCGAGACTGAGAGTCTAGAAGAGATCAACCGCATCCTAGGGCCGGCCCGTGCTGCTCAGGCACAGGAGCAAGCGGCTCCAAGACTTCAGCGTTCGCCAACTGAAGCTACTACGACGACTATGATGACGATAGATTCGCAGCTCACTGAGTCTCGCTTCGCTGTGCTTCCCGAAGAGGCTGACTTGTCTGGCTGGAGTGTCGAGGACAAGAAGGAGGTCAACGACCATGTCCGACATATGCTTCACTCACGACGATCCAAGATGAAGCGCTCGCTGAAAGGGTTCGGACAGTATGTCAGGCGACGTATGTATTTCTGTCATCATTCTCACAGGCCATTACTGACAGATCACAGCTCTCGGCTTCCTTGTCACTCTCTACGCGACCCTCATCACACTGTTTGGTCTGGCCTGGGTGCTTTTCCTCATCGGCTGGGTCAATGTTGGGGGCCAACAAATCTACGTAGTGCACGTCATTGACAGTGTCCTTGTTGCCCTTTTCGCTGTTGTGGGGGATGGTCTCGCACCTTTCCGTGCCGTAGACACCTACCACATGATTTACATCGCTCACTACCACCACTTCACCTGGTCACGCCGTAAGAAGGAGATGCTTCCCGAACTTACCGACCATAATGACCTTCCTGCCGAACACGCTCCTGTGTCTGGACCCCGTGTCGTAGACCCAGCAGATCCTGAGAAGCAGTGGGAATTCACCGTTTTGACGCCCAAGCAACAGGAGAAATTGGAACACCACCAAGAGAAGTTCTGCAAATCTCACTCTTTCTACAAACCCCACGAGACAGAGACTCATTACGCCTTCCCTCTTCGTCTCCTCGTTGCTATCGTCGTACTTCTAGACTGCCACTCTTTACTCCAGATCTCTCTCGGCGCGTGCACATGGGGTATCTACTACAAACACCGTCCTTTCGCCATCACCACCGTCATTCTCTGTTGCTCCATCACCTGCAACGCCACAGCTGGCCTACTGATTTGGTTGGGTGACAAGAAGACCCGAAAGAAGGACGTGCTAGAGCGCATGAACAGACAGGAGCTGACCGAAGAGGCCATCAAAGAAGTAGAAAAGAAGAAGCAGAAGGAGAAAGAAAGAGAAAGTGAGGGCGAGTCTAGCGGTGCAGACGAAGGCAGGGACAGGGAGGCAAGAAGAATCAGTCTCGATGCTTTCAGGCCAGGGAGGAAGAGTATGGACAGAAACAGAGAGAAGAAGCAGAGTCTCGGTGCGTATCCCTGATCAGAGAATGCAACGATGTTGCATAATACATGACTGTTATGTCGGTGGCATTTTTCTTGGAAGCGTTCAAGCGTATATACCTATTCAGCGATGTCGACATGTCGATCTACTTAATTCTGAATTTTTTGTTCCTCTTATAACTCTGTGCCTTGCAGTGAACAACATGTGTTGAATGCTTCGTTGGTGGGATGTAGTGACACTTGTGCTGCTCAGGCAGAAACATACTCGCCATCTGCCATTGTAGCTGCGCTTGAAATCCCATGCATAAGAGAACGGTGCTAACAAAACGATCATGCGCTCTTGCTAAAATAGTTGTAATAACGGGTCTCTGCTGTATTATAGCAGGTCATCGACCTCAAAAGAGAGTCACGGGAGTAGGACGGATTGAAAGGTATGGTTGAAGCTCATCACGCGGTGATGCTTTGTCATTTATCTTGTATTACTCCAATCTAGCTCCAGCTAACACTGTTGATATGCCACCTGAGTAGATCGTTCTCTCGTGCAATCTTTTCCCACTCAATCCTCGTCCTTCACTTCGACTCAGAGCAATTTCTATCCTCTATATCGTATCGTATCCATGGGTATAAGTTTCTAGCAGCCCTCAATCTGCTCAACACCAGCGGTAGTGCCCTTGACGCACATGCCGTGGTTCTGACGAACGGCGACAGCTGTTTTCGTGTTAACCATAAATGCCAATAGTGGAGCTTGGGCGGAAAGAGAGCATACCCTCGTTTGCGACAGGCGCGGCGATGGCAAAAGCAGCCATGGAGACGACGGTGGCGATGATAGTGGTGAACTTCATTTTGAAATAGTGTTTAGATTATCGAAGTTGTTGATCAGGTAGTAGTGAAGAAGCCTGGAATGTAGTTGGAAATTGAAAAGTCGCCCGGCGACAAAGAGTGAATGAATAGAAAGGTTGATAAACAAGAAAATTGACTTGAAGAAGTTGACTTGATGGTGAGCTTGAAGTAAGAAAAGACCTTCTAGCCTGAGGAGGCGATCAACTTATACCAAGCACCAGCAGCAACTCGCCCATACAGGTACACCGTCGTCGTCGTCATCAGGCGCCGTTGTCATCACAAAGTTATCCCAGTACCTTACTCGCTGCCTCGTACTGACAAGGCTGAAACCGGAGTCTAGACTTTCCTGCTTGTGTCTTGGTACTGTATTAGCGAAAGGAGTACGATCTGCTGCCTAACGACGGCGGGTAGTGGAGCATTGTCGTTCTACGGGAAGAGCACGGCCGGGGAGGCGCTGCGTTGAGGTGTGTCAAAGCTGTTGGAGATATGTCGATGATTTCCCGAAAAATGGGAGACGCGCGGCTTTTGCATGTGGAGTTATATGGGTACCGTGGGGAAGACGTAAAGCTGTAGGTATACTACCACTTCGTTGAGTTGGGCCCCATCATGATGATGCCGCCAAATTTTGTATCTTTCAGATAAACACTCTGCCTACTTTCCCATTAGTCCATCCCCATCTGTCGAGTACAGCCATTGAGCCTATGTAGTCCCGTATAAGCACCGTGATACAGCGCGGTTAGAGTGCGATGAAACGGTACTCAAACCCAGCCGAAACTCGGAAGAGCACCTCCCTTGGCAACGATCTCGGAGAACACAATGCGATGCTAGCAGTCATCGGGCACCACATTTTGTCCGAAACGCTTCCAAATGCACCGACATACGTAAATCCAGGGGCAGAACCTGAGGATGTTTGTGTATTGGGATGCCCGTTGATCGTTCACCACACGTGCAACCAGATGGCGCTAGCCATTTGTGGACAAGTCGCATCGAAGGCGATATTCAAACGCCTTTGGGGAATTGACCGCTCTCATCCAACAACAGGTAGCTTGATGCCGCCGCCCATTGCGACAGCAAATTTCGAACAGCAAATTTTCCGTCTAACTTACAAACTGAATTTCAGTCGCTGATATGCTTGATCAGTCGTTCAGCTCTTGGTAAACAGCATCGCTAGTTGTTCCAATATTTTTAGTCTTTTCACTTGTCTCGTCTCTACTGTTTCTGAAGCTCGCTCTTATGATTGTTTATCTTGCTTGGTAGAGATAAGTTGGTCTTGCCTGCTTCCTAGCAATCTTGGAAAACGTAACACAGTCACCGTCGCGCGGTATCTGTTGTGAACTCTAGATCACACGAGTTCTCAGACTGTTGGTATTTACACAGGTCTGACTTAGCTTTGATAAATCTGAATTCGATACAGTCGATGTAAATGTAGGTTTCTGGCGATGCTAAGGATCTCCATACAAGATAGAAGTGTCACTGGAAAGAGCGAGGGTTTACACATATCAAAACAGAAAGCAGACACGCCCGCTATTCCACGAGATGACGTTCGGGTATGAGCCACGTGTAGCCGTGGTGAGAGGTGACGGCGCGTTGCTGAAAACCGAAAACGGAAGTGAAGGTGAGAGCTGGTCATAAGGACAGCGCCTTCCCGAGTATCCACCTCCACCTTTGTGCTCGACAGTTGCTCCCCACAACCTCAAGAAGTTGGCAATTGCGGCCCACAGAAATCATGGATCTATACGTGGCTCAGCTTCCAGGGCTCTCTGTAGCTACTCATCTGGCGAGGGAGCGTGCGAAAGCCGACGAGGACATGCCTGATAACAAGAGCTGGCGATTAGGCCACAGCAAGCAGCCGAAGAAGCCACCAAGAGTGTCCACTCCTCTGAAGATCGATACCGAATACTCGAAATCTTTCGAAGATTTGAACGATCACCATCTTCTGCTCAGCTGGCGACAACAACGTCAAGGCAGCAGACCGCAGACACCTGTGGGCGCTATATCAGCCACGCCTGTCACCGACGATACATATGATACCAGAAGTGATCGTTCAGATACCCCAGCGCCACGTCGAGACTCCAAGCCAAAACTCGCACGATACACTTCGCTTTTCGCCAACTTCAAAGACACAACCAAGGAACCCGAGTTTGCCTTCTCTACACCTTGGGGTGAAGACGCACCGCAGTCCCTACAGCCTTACATAGATCCGCTTGACGTGGTTCAGTCTGTCCGATCGCACATGGCGACTACACATCGGCCAATACCAATGGAGCACAATAGTGGCCTGTTCCGGGTGTTTGAGGACTACCGCAACGTCCGAGAGCAGAAAGAGAGTCTCAGTATAATGATGGAGGAGACACTCAGTGACTGGAAAAAGGCCGAACAATATTGGGATCGCTCAAAAGATTGCTATGGCGCGGAAATACGGCGACTCGAGCTACTCATAGCTCGCGGAACGAGCGGTATGACAGGGTCAGTAGCCTCCAACTCCATGCCCTCTCTTTGCTAACACAGAGGAGACTTATGCAAGCTCGTCAAGACAGCGTAGTGCGACGTCATAGAAAGACCATCTCGTACGACAGTCTCCCTCCAGCTTATGACTCCCTTTCGCATGCCCAACTCGACCGAGAGATCAAAGTTAGGAGTCAGAGAGGTTAGTACTTGGTAATATAGTGTTATGCATGTCGTTACTAATCTAATTCAGCGCTCCTGAGTCGACCATTATCTCCCTCTGGAAAGATGATCGTCCTCTCAACACAGTTTACCAACGATGGGGCGAAGCTGATAGTAGGAACTCCTCCTGAGGTCAACCATAATTTGACACTGTCGCGCAAAGTCCAAAGCGAGCTCAACCTTACCGCCATTCATAAGACAAAACCCTCCCGCTCCTTTACTAGCTCTGTAACTTCTGGGTTCTCAGGAGGGTCTGGTGATCCTTTGCCTGACGAGATGGCGGTTCTTGAGCACACTGGAATGGAGCCGGCGACCGAATGCGAAGCTCTCGTTGCTCTTCGTGAGCTTGGCACACTCGTTGCAAGACGTCGAGGGTTAGAGATCAGCAGCTTCAACCACAGCCTCATGATGCTCTTCTCGCAGACTAGACCAGCAGAGAGAATAGTAGAAGGTATCGAAGAACGAGACGCACGGCCGTCACGGCAAGGGATGGGCTCGAATTCTGGAAAACCACAGTACGCTGATACATCTCTCGCACCCCGACATAATTTGCGGAAGTTTCAGTCGCAGCCACATCTCAGCACTACACAGAAGCATCGTCGACAGTTTTCTTTTGAGCCTGGGGCGGATCAGCTCGAAGCGCTCGCGGAGGAGTTTGGAGCGCTTGACGGGGAGACCAATGAGAGCGATTCTGACGATTCGGACACTCCGCTCCTCATGCGTGCTGAGCGCCCTGCACTCGATACCCAATCAATTAGGTCTACTTCGTCGTCTCAAAATCTGGGTGCAGATTTAGCCAAGCCATCAAAGATTCCTAGCCCTGTCCAAACGATGGGTCGCAGTCGCCGAGAGGATTCTGCTTCAAGCCTCCAGTCGGTCTATGCTAGACCTCAAGATAGTCGTCGAGAGTCTCGTTCTAGTGTTATCACGGCTTTTCGCGAACATCTAAGTGGAAATATTCGACCCGAACTCCAGAGCAGACACAGTTCGATCAACGACTTACGTGCGTCAGACTCCTCGACGGCATCAAGAGAGCAGATCGGTGCAACAAGACTGCGTAACAGTAACATGGCTGTCGCAGCAGCGAGGGCTGCAAGTGATGCAAGTCAAACCTCATTGTCAGAGAGAAGCAGCCCAAGACTCTCCCTATCGCGAACAAACAACGCAGGAGGTCCAGTCAGGCCGGTGCATGATGACTCCAAGAGAACGTCATCAAGTTGATAAGTGGACATCTCTTATACCTGTATGATCGAGATCTTTACAACCACATTGGACGGACAGGGCTGCGATTGGTGTTTCATTCCGGTTATTCAGCACATCAGTTTGAGGTTGATTCGACCGTGAGACAACGTGCGATCATCCCTCTCTACTCGCCAAAGTCAGAAGTGATACTTGTGTCACCATTGGAAGACTGGGCTGCAGATGTTTTCTACATTTCTTTTGTTATCACACCAGGTTTCGGGCTTGACCGAGCACCTGTGGATCAGAGAGCAATTATCTGCAGTCATCGTAGCGTGTGTGGGCAAAAGTCACATGGACTAGGAGTTTGTAGGATACCAAGTGTATCAACCTAAGATTGCAGTCCCCTTCGCGCAACAACCAAGATTAGTCGTGCCAATTAGCGAGATGAAGAGCTGTGGCTAAACTGACAGCTCACATCAGACATCGCGATTGCTCCCCTTCCCTTCCCGTACCACGCTGCCACAATGACCAGGCGGCGCTCAAGGTCGAACCTATCCGGTCGCGGTTGTACGGAGGTGACCTCACTCCATCTTACTACGGCTAATGCATTGCTCAGGAGACACGGATACTGACACTACGCCAGAGTACTGCGCTTCTGGGCTGGACTCTGACATTCTACGAATCTAATCGCAACATCTAGTCATAAACGAGCCGTTTCCAGCTCCTTCTATTCTGCATGTCTACGCGTCTTGTCGCTATCTGCTCTGTTAGTAGGTCTGATCTGCAAACTGTGGCGTTCGATGTGGCGAGTGCAAAAGCTGTGCCACAATTGGCCGATCATTTCCGAGTTTACAGAAAAGGTTTCTTCCACATGATGATACTCGAGGCATTCGATTCGTCGAGAGTTCGCGTTGTCGATCGCGGTCTGTAACTGTTGCCACACTTATTTTTACACAACGATCGCTGCCTCTGTGGATTCCTCCGTTGCACCTACCGGACGACGATTCCACAGCCTTGCGATTGGCCATGCAGCCACAGGCATTCCATTCCATGCAACTGCCAGCACCATGTTCGGTGTAACTGCAAAAGGCAGTGACGTTCACTCTTACAGCATGGCTTCCAGATGCACTGTCCAAGCGCCTTACGATGACGA